CTAACGGAGCTGAACATTATTTTTAATTTTAGATGCATTTAAACTGATCAAATTTTATTTCAGAGAACAATAAAATTAAATTTTGTTTGATTAAAACCCTGCTAACATGGAAGTACCCAAGAATCATTTGAGGCACATAATGTTTTATGAGTTCAAGAAAGGAAACTCAGCAGCCGAAGCGGCTAAAACATTCACTCAGTTTATGGAAAGGAATGTGTGAATGAAAGAACTTGCAGAAGATGGTTTGCAAAATTCAGAGGTGGAGCTTTCATCCTTGAAGATGAAGATCGAACCGGACGTCCAGTTGAGTTTGATGAAAAGCTTCTTGAAGCAGCCCTTGAAGAAAATCCTACTTTATCAGTTAAGGAATTGGCAATGGTTCTCAGTTCAAACCATACAACTGTTCATCGTCATCTTCAACAACTTGGAAAAGTTCCTAAACTTGGAAAATGAATGCCTCATGAATTGTCTGAAAGCAACCTCAAATCCCGAGTTGACATCTGCTCTTCTTTCCAGTCTCACCAACTTGTTTCAACTTTTTTGGATAGACTTGTGACTGGCGACGAAAAATGGATCTTTTATCGAAATGTTAAGCGTCGTAGACAGTAGCTTGGTAAAGGGGAAGGACCCCAGCCACAGCCGAGAAGGGAACTTCATAGGCAAAATGTTCTTATTTCAATCTGGTGGGATCGCCAAGGAATAATCCACTTTGAATTCTTACCACCTAATGCAACAATTAATGCTCAAATATACTGTCAGCAATTAGAGCGTTTGAACCAAGCTTTAAGGAAAAAAGACCTGCTCTAGTGAATCGAAAAGGGGTGATGTTTCATCAGGACAATGCGTGACCCCACACAGCAAGAATCACGTCACAAAAGATAGAAGAACTTGGTTGGGAGAAAATTCCTCATCCACCTTATTGTCCCGATCTTGCTCCTTCAGACTACCATTTGTTTCTTAGCTTACAGAATCATTTGGAAGAAACAGCTTTTGTAAGACAGGAAGAGGTTAAAACTGACATTTTGAGTTCTTCGAATCAAAGCCAAAAGAATTTTACAGTAATGTAATTAGTAAGCTTGTTAATAGATGGAAGGAAGTCATAGATAATCAGGGAAAATACATTGTTGATTGAATCTGTAATTAAATGTAACATTTGGTCACTTGTTTTCTTTATTCAAAATTCGGACAAAACTTATGGGATGACCTGATATTTTAACCTATTGTAATGGTCTTGCCCCTATACGTCAACGATTTTATTTTATTTTCAAGAAGATAAATGAATAGACTATCCTAAACGTTAGTCTGTTTCACAAATAAGAAATGGAGCTGGACATGAAGGTTTTAGTCAATGTGAATACATTCTTTTCTAAATGGAAAATGCGTTTCAGAGTCAAAGACTTTTCTATAAATTAGAATATTATTTGAAAAAAAAAATTCAAATCCATTGGGGCAACACTTTAATTCTTCCATTTGAGTAAAATCCTCTATCATATGAGATGAAATAAAATAATGTAATTCATCAGTTTGGACCAGTTGTTGTCTTGAAGGCTTTCTGAATTCTCTTGTATTCAGGAAAAGAGACGGTTTTCTTTTTTTTTTCTGAATGTATTGTAGGTATTGGATGCAAATCCCAATTCAGTTTGTTTTGTTTTCTGTTCAAAATAAATTTCTCTTCCAAATGTTTAACACAGAGAACTGAATTTTTTGTAGGAAACCAATCAATAAGATTAACGGATTTTATCCATTTTTCTAGGAGGTCGGAAATTTCCAAGAGGAAAAGGAAATGTTGACAGTTTTTCACTGTTAGTAACATATCCATCAGAATGGCCAAATGCAACGCATTTGTTAACCAGTTTTGTTAAACAACTTATCACATCAAACTTTATAATCTAATCTTTAAATGCACTTTGAGATAAAAAAAAATGATCTAATAATGTTCATTTGCAAAATGGGACATTGTAATACCTGAGCGTACCTATTCTATTATCAATAGACTCTCACACACATAATAAGTAGTAGTAGTAGCGGTCGCCAGTTGAGCTCAGTGGAGTTGAGTGAGTCAGTCGATGTCGGACATTGGAGTTCCAACCATCGCAATTAGATTGCTGCGTCATTAACTCTTATTTCAAATTCCTAATGTTTTGTACGTCGGACCCTTTTAGGACCGATTAGTGAAATACAAGGCTCCACTGGGAAAACTACTCTACAACAGACATATACCCAATTGAATTTTAATCATTTCTATGTAGTTTAAGCTAATACGCAATTCATTGCATACACCAGAGACGCGTCCCTCAAAATAGATTCTATCATATTTTCCTTACCATAAGCGATATATAAAACGAGTTACGTCCCTTGATGTATCATGTGGCTGAGCGTACAGTTAATTTCACCTTATAGTGATTTTCCAAGCGTAGCTTAGATATGGCATAAGGCCGAAAGTATGGGGCACCCAGTGAGGATCAAACTCACTACTCAGTCGTAATTGTTCTAGCGAAACAAGCTTGCTAACCATTACACCGCCTGGGGTGCCCGATTTTACCTTTTAAATTGAAATGCAGGTTCAAAACCTGCCCAAAGCACATTTGGTTTGGTTTGTTTTACGGCATATCAACCTTAATGGGTTATTTAATGCCGGCAAAAAATTTATTTCTGGTAATATTTTTCTTCAAAAATGTATAGCTGCTAATAAATTATTTTTTTAAATTATTTCTCGTATTAAAACCAACACTTTCATAGTGTTTTAACTCCAGTTTGGGGATCAACTATTTTACCCATAGCTGGGACCCTAATAAGTGTTACCACCCGGGTCAGGGTGGACCTGGGAACACAAGCAATTAAGAGGTGCTTCCACAATCCTCAAAACCTCCTGATTAGAGTCCTTGCTGTTGGGCGTAGTTTATTGTCTTACCCGAGACGGTAAACATTTGCTTTAAGTCTTGTATGTCCTGGCCGTCAGACGTTGAATTGCACGTTTTACAAAGAAGGTTATGTCTACTTACACGACCACGGGTATTCACACGAAATATCTTGTTTATCTTAATGAGAAATAATGTCGTTTTAAAAATAAAAACCATTAATTCCTTACAAATGACATTGAATAAAGTGGGAATTATTTTAAAGGTGTGTTGTCAGTTACGTTAAAAATAACCTTGGGATATATTTTCAATGTCAAGTGATTTTATCGTCTTCAGCTTTTCAATGTGTCCGTTAGAGAAGGCTTCTTCTTGTTCCGTAAATAGAATTGATTTGAATTCGGCGATATGAATAAACCAAGAAATCAAATATGAAAGTGGTCTGGGACTTTTTATATAAAATCCGGGAGAAGAAAGGAAAAGAAAAACGTTTTAAAAAAAAGAAAAAAAAAGAAAAAGAAATAAGGTCGGACGAATATCACACTTAAGCTTCAGCGTTCACACACTTGAAAACGAGGCAACCATGATGCGGTCATAAAATGCAGAACTTTGTCCGCTGAGGATGGGAACGTCAATAGCCATCCTTGATTGGTTAGGCTCTGGATTTAAAAGAGGGGTCATTTAAAAGCCTCCTAATGTACTCGCGTCTTTACTTCCTGATAACATACGGTTTCTTTTTCGAGGATTTTGACTCCGGCAGCGAAAAAAAAAATGGTGTGGGGTCGGTCGGGTATAAAAGCCCCGACGAACATGATGTTCTGGATATAAAGTAGTAGTTAAGCGAGACTAGCGTGTTCTCTCTTACGAAACACAAGTGGACTGTAAGAGTGAAGCGAAGCACTTGTCAGAGGGAATTTTTCTCCAGATCGAAGCTAAGAATCAATAGACGCTTGTCTAGCAATTATGTCCCCGAGTCAATAGGTTGGAGGTCTGTAAGAAGGGGCGAGGGTGCTAGTGTGTAGAAAAGGAAGGTTAAGGCAGCGACAGGGAGAGAGAGAGAGAGAGAGAGAGAGAGAGAGAGAGAGAGAAAGCGAGGCGGGGTCGAAAGAAGGCAAAGGAAGAGGAAGAAGAAGAGAGATACGGGCCAATGATTTAAGGTCTTTGAGACTTCAAGTTCTTGCATGTGAGATGAACCGGATTTGTGAGGTGGTTGGGAAAGGAAGGTTGTTAGTTGTCGCGCCAGAGGGAAGGGACAAGGGTTAATTGCGTTTCTTTGTTGATTTGCCTTTTTTTACCGTTAGAATCATTATAATGCCTCCTCACCTAACCGTTGCCTCGTTTTGAAAGCAATTAATAGTAAGTTTTCACCTTTAAATCCGTTTTTCTCCATTTCATGTTGTTTCTTTCATTCTTTTTATTCTCCTATCAGTACATTTTTCTTCTTTCTTTCTTCTTTTCCTACGCATTTTTTTTATTCTTAAATCTTCCTTCGAATCTATCTTTCTCATTTTTCTTTCATAACTGTTTTTCTTTCTTTCTTTCTTTCTTTCTTTCTTTCTTTCTTTCTTTCTTTCTTACGCCATTTTTATTCTTCCTTCGCATCTTTTTAATGTTACTTCTTATACAACTTTTTTTATTCTTCCTTCACCAATTTTTTTGGTTTGTTTGTTTGTTTGTTTGTTTCTTTCTTTCTTTCTTTCTTACGCCATTTTTATTCTTCCTTTGCATCCTTTTCTGTCTTTATTCTTTTTATATTTCTTTCTTACACGCTTTTTATTCTTCCTTTACCACTTTTCTTTCTTTCTTTCTTTCTTTCTTTCTTTCTTTCTTTCTTTCTTTCTTACGCCATTTTTTCTTCTTCCTTTTGCATCTTTTTTAATGTTACTTTTATTTTACTTTTTTATTCTTCTTTCAAAGCTTTTTATTTTTTTACCACTTTTGTTTGTTTTTCTTTCTTTCTTTTTTTCTTTCTTTCTTTCTTTATACTCTTTTTATTCTTCCTTCGCATCTTTTTCTTTCTTTAATTCTTTTTATATTTCTTTCTTACGCGCTTTTTTATTCTTCCTTTACCACTTTTCTATCTTTCTTTAATTCTTTGTTTCTTTCTTTCTTACGCTATTTTTATTCTTCCTTCACATCTTTTTAATGTTACTTCTTATACAACTTTTTTATTCTTCCTTCACAAGTTTGTTTGTTTGTTTGTTTGTTTGTTTGTTTTCTTTCTTTCTTTTCTTTCTTTCTTCTTTTCTTTTTTTCTTTCTATTCTTCCTTCAATTTTTTTTCTTTCTTTCTTTTTTTCATTTCCTTCATTTATTTCTCCTCTTTTTTTTCTTCTTTTTCCCTTTTCCATTCATTTTAAAATTTCTCCTATTTTTTTCCATTTTTTGCTTCTTTTTTCTTTTTTTTTCTTTTCATTTTTTTTTTCTCTTTCTTTCTTTCATTTTTTTTTTTCCTTTTTTAATTTCTTTTCTTTTTATTTTTCTTTACTTTTTTTTTCTTTACTTGTTACCCTTTTAACTTTTTTATTCTCTTTCTTTCTTTCTTTTTTTTTTCTTTCTTTCTTTTTTCTTTTTTTCTTTTTTCTTTCTTTCTTTCTTTCTTTTATTTGAATTTCTTCATTTCTCTTTTTTTCTTTTTTAAATCTCTCCTTTCCTTCCACTTCGACATTTCATTTTTTTCTTTTATTTCTTTGTTTCTTTCTTTCTTTTTTTTCTTCCTTTATTTTTTTCTTTCTTTTTTTTTTTTTTTCTTTTGCCATTTTGTTTGTTTTTTTTTCTTTAGTTTTCATTTTTCCTTCTTTCTTTCTCCTTTCACTCTTTCTTTTTTTTTCCCCTTATTTCTCTTTTTTCTTTTCATTTATTTCTTTTTTTCTTTCTTTCTTTCTTTCTTTCGTTCTTTTTTTCTTTCTTCTTTTCTTTTTTCTTCTGCCTTATTCTTGTTCTCCTTTTTTTTATTTTTTCCTTCATTTCATTTTTTGTTTTGTTTTTTTTTTTGTTTTTCTTTTTGTTTGTTTGTTTGTTTTGTTTCTTTTTTCTTTCTTTCTTTTTTTCTTTCAATTCTTTCCTTCTTTTGAATTCGTCTTCTTTTCTTTTCTTTCTTTCTTTTTTCTTTCTTTCTTTAGCATTTTTTTACATTTTTGAATTCTGTCTTTCCTTCTTTGAATCTTTCTTTCTTTTCTTTCTTTTCTTTTTTTTTTCTTTCTTTCTTCATTTACAATTCTGTTTTTCCTTCTCTTGAATTCGTCTTCATTTTCTTTTTTCTTTTTTTTTTTTGTTTGAATCTTTCTTTTTCTCTTGTTTCGACTTCTTTTCTTTCTTTCTTTCTTTCTTTCTTTTCTTTCTTTCTTTTTTCTTTTCTTTCTATTAGCATTTTACAATTCTGCTTTCCTTCTTTCGTCTTCTTTTCTTTCTTTCTTTTCTTTCTTTCTTTTACATTTCTTTCTTTCTATTAGCATTTTTACAATTCTGCCTTTTTCCTTCTTTTTTTGAATTTTAGTCTTCTTTTCTTTCTTTCTTTCTTTCTTTCTTTCTTTCTTTTTTCTTTCTTTTCTTTCTATTAGCATTTTATTCTTTCTGCCTTTCCTTCTTTTCTTTTTTCTTTTCTTTCTTTTCTTTCTTTTTTTCTTTCTTTCTTTCTATTCGTTTTCTTTTCTTTCTTTCCTTCTTTTTCGTTTCTTTCTTTCTTTCTTTCTTTATTCTTTTCTTTCTTTCTTTCTTTCTATTAGCATTTTACAATTCTGCCTTTCCTTCTTTTGAATTCGTCTTCTTTTCTTTCTTTCTTTCTTTCTTTCTTTCTTTCTTTCTTTCTATTAGCATTTTACAATTTTTCTTTCCTTTCCTTCTTTTTTCTTCGTCTTCTTTTTTTTCTTTCTTTCTTTCTTTCTTTTTTCTTTCTTTTTTTCTTTTCTTTCTTTCTATTTTCTTTTTTTATTCTGCCTTTCCTTCTTTTAATTCTCTTCTTTTCTTTCCTTTCTTTCTTTCTTTTTTTTTACATTCTTTTCCTTCTCTTTTCGTTTCTTTTCTTTCTTTCTTTTCTTTTCCTTTCTTTCTTTTTTTTCTTTCTTTCTTTCTTTTTTCATTTTCAATTCTGCCTTTCCTTCTTTTGAATTCGTCTTCTTTCTTTCTTTCTTTCTTTCTTTCTTTCTTTCTTTCTTTCTTTCTTTCTATTAGCATTTTACAATTCTGCCTTTTTTGAATTCTCTTCTTTTCGTCTTTTTCTTCTTTCTTTCTTTCTTTCTTTCTTTCTTTCTTTCTTTCTTTCTTTCTATTAGCATTTTACAATTCTGCCTTTCCTTCTTTTGAATTCGTCTTCTTTTCTTTCTTTCTTTCTTTCTTTCTTTCTTTCTTTCTTTCTATTAGCATTTTACAATTCTGCCTTTCCTTCTCTTGAATTCGTCTTCTTTTCTTTCTTTCTTTCTTTCTTTCTATTAGCATTTTACATTTCTGCCTTTCCTTCTCTTGAATTCGTTTTCTTTCTTTCTTTCTTTCTTTCTTTCTTTCTTTCTTTCTTTCTTTCTTTCTATTAGCATTTTACAATTCTGCCTTTCCTTCTTTTGAATTCGTCTTCTTTTCTTTCTTTCTTTCTTTCTTTCTTTCTTTCTTTCTTTCTTTCTATTAGCATTTTACAATTCTGCCTTTCCTTCTTTTGAATTCGTCTTCTTTTCTTTCTTTCTTTCTTTCTTTTCTTTCTATTAGCATTTCTATTCTTTTACTCTGCCTTTTCTTTTGAATTTCTTCTTTTTCTTTCTTTTTTCTTTCTTTTCTTTTCTTTCTTTCTTTCTTTCTATTAGCATTTTACAATTCTGCCTTTCCTTCTTTTGAATTCGTCTTCTTTTCTTTCTTTCTTTCTTTCTTTCTTTCTTTCTTTCTTTCTTTTAGCATTTTACAATTCTGCCTTTCCTTCTTGAATTCGTCTTCTTTTCTTTCTTTCTTTCTTTCTTTCTTTCTTTCTTTCTTTCTTTCTTTCTTTCTATTAGCATTTTACAATTCTGCCTTTCCTTCTTTTGAATTCGTCTTCTTTTCTTTCTTTCTTTCTTTCTTTCTTTCTTTCTATTAGCATTTTACAATTCTGCCTTTCCTTCTTTTGAATTCGTCTTCTTTTCTTTCTTTCTTTCTTTCTTTCTATTAGCATTTTACATTTTCTTTCTTTTCCTTTTACAATTCTGTTTCCTTCTTTTTCTTTCGTCTTCTTTTCTTTTTTCTTTTTCTTTCTTTTCTTTCTTTTAGCATTTTACAATTCTGCCTTTCCTTCTTTTTGAATTCGTCTTCTTTTTTCTTTCTTTCTTTCTTTCTATTTTTTACAATTCTGCCTTTCCTTCTCTTAGATTCTCTTTTTCTTTTGATTCTTTCTTTTCTTTCTTTCTTTCTTTCTATTAGCATTTTACAATTCTGCCTTTCCTTCTCTTGAATTCGTCTTCTTTTCTTTCTTTCTTTCTTTCTTTCTTTTCTTTCTATTAGCATTTTACAATTCTGCCTTTCCTTCTTTTGAATTCGTCTTCTTTTCTTTCTTTCTTTCTTTCTTTCTTTCTTTCTTTCTTTCTTTCTTTCTATTAGCATTTTACAATTCTGCCTTTCCTTCTTTTGAATTCGTCTTCTTTTCTTTCTTTCTTTCTTTCTTTTCTTTCTTTCTTTCTTTCTTTCTATTAGCATTTTACAATTCTGCCTTTCCTTCTCTTGAATTCGTCTTCTTTTCTTTCTTTCTTTCTTTTTTCTTTCATTTTCTTTCCTTTTCTTTCTTCTTTTCTTTCTTTCTTTTCTTTCTTTCTTTTCTATTTTAGCATTTCCTTCTCTTGAATTCGTCTTCTTTTTTTCTTTCTTTCTTTCTTTAGCATTTTATTCTTTCTTATTTTTCTTTCTTTCTTTCTTTTCTTTCTTTCTTTCTTTCTTTTTTTCTTTCTTTCTTCTTTGAATTCATTTTTCTTTCTTTTCTTTCCTTCTTTTTTTACAATTTCTTCTTTTCTTTCTTTTCTTTCTTTCTTTCTTTCTTTCTTTCTTTCTTTCTTTCTTTCTATTAGCATTTTACAATTCTGCCTTTCCTTCTTTTGAATTCGTCTTCTTTTCTTTCTTTTTTTCTTTCTTTCTTTCTTTCTTTCTTTCTATTAGCATTTTACAATTCTGCCTTTCCTTCTCTTGAATTCGTCTTCTTTTCTTTTTTCTTTCTTTCTTTCTTTCTATTAGCATTTTACAATTCTGCCTTTCCTTCTTTTGAATTCGTCTTCTTTTCTTTCTTTCTTTCTTTCTTTCTTTCTTTCTTTCTTTCTTTTCTTTCCTTTAGCTTTTCTTGAATTCGTTTCCTTCTCTTTCTTCTTTTCTTTCTTTTCTTTCTTTTCTTTTTCTATTAGCATTTTACAATTCTGCCTTTCC